TACAAGCCAAAGAGTGAACGATAGTGTTCAATCAAGAATCCATGCCATAGTAAAATTTGATTATTTCAATTACTTCTACAATGTGTTCAAAATATAATGCATCTGTAAAAAAATCCAGCCTAATTTTCATCAATTAGAAAAAAATATTTGTGGATTGAAACACACAGGTAACTAAAATATTAAAAGTATAGGCCTACGTTGTAGGATTATAAATGAACAATTCCTTTAAAAGTTCGTTTTTTTTTTTTTTAAATCGTTATAATGTAAATTTACAAGAAAAAAAAATGCTTATTGTTTTCATCATAATATTAATATCAATCCATTTTAACTACAATTATTATTAATAAATTTTGCTTAATTGCTTTGCAAACCCCACTTCTAATCAACAGATTTACAATAATAAAAATCATTTTTTGATGAAGAACCTCTTGCCTTTGTAAAAGGAATTCTGTGTTGATTAGCCTTTTAAGCTTTTTTCCAAGTGACTTCTATTACACATGTATTGTAGATGATATTTTTACCAGAGAATTCGGAGGTAATATTTAGTAGCCTAACTCCAGTGGGTATTGATATTTTGGATTATAAGTTATTTTTTTAAACAAATAGTTTTGTTTTTTTATGTGATAAACATTTTTTAAATGTCCTTTTCAATAAATTCCAGTCAATTAATGTGCCATGTTTTTCAGGGGCATTGATTCAATCTATTATTACATTAACTACATAGAAAACCCCCCTTTTAAAAAAAAACTCTTATATATTTTTATGATCTTGGGAAATCTTGGGAAATTTGCTCACCAAATCTTGGGAAATTTTAAAAAAAGTGAGTGGCAGCCCTGCTAAAGAGGGGTCCAGGGGCCTCCACCAGAAACTCTTTATTAAAATATGCTCATTTTAACTATGAAATCTAACCTAGAAATCTACTTGGAGTCATCAGTCTTTTCCTATATTTCACTGATGTGATGTGTTGTATATATCTGAACGTCCACCATGACCAATACTAAAAACGTTATTGCAAACTGTGCACTCGGGCTTCACTTTCATAGCGTCCCTTTTAAATATAGTTCCACTCTTTGGAATACTCATACAAAAACGTACATTGATGCTTGGGCATCAATATTGTTCTAATGAGAAAATAATATAAAATTAGAGAATAAAGTTCAACACCCGAAACAAACAGGCCTGCAGGGATCACACATAATAGTAACACATTACACGTAGCGTTAGTGGAATCATTGACGCTTGGGCATCAATATTGTTCTGATGAGATTACTGTTCTCATTAGCGTTAGTGGAATCAAAATTCTGCACAGCTACATGTGTTGTTCTCTTAAACCCTTAAAAAAAAAAAGAGATACATAATAAGGTGACCAGCTCACGTCAGCCAAGTAGTAGCGCCCCACCCCCCCCCCTTCCCCCCACCCCCCAACCGGTCAAGTTATTTAAAGTAATCTTGACAAAGCGGTGTTTCATAGAATATTCCCGGCGCTAATCTCTTGGATGGGTATCATTTCAATTGTATGGGTTTACTGCTTACTTTGGCGTACAATGTACGATTTTAAGGTGAATACATGTTTATGCTGCAGGTTTGTTATTTTACAATTAAGATAATGTTTTAAACCATTTTGTGATGATATTGTACGATTTGAAGATTTTGAGGGTAAACAGGTCTGGATTTATTCTACTAGGAAATATCGTAATGAATTTGTCACGCCCTAAGATCTATTCTACTAGGGAATATCGTAATGAATTTGTTACGCCCTAAGATCTATTCTACTAGGGAATATCGTAATGAATTTGTTACGCCCTAAGATCTATTCTACTAGGGAATATCGTAATGAATTTGTTACGCCCTAAGATCTATTCTACTAGGGAATATCGTAATGAATTTGTTACGCCCTAAGATCTATTCTACTAGGGAATATCGTAATGAATTTGTTACGCCCTAAGATCTATTCTACTAGGGAATATCGTAATGAATTTGTTACGCCCTAAGATCTATTCTACTAGGCAATATCGTAATGAATTTGTTACGCCCTAAGATCTATTCTACTAGGGAATATCGTAATGAATTTGTTACGCCCTAAGATCTATTCTACTAGGGAATATCATAATGAATTTGTAACGCCCTAAGATTTATTCTACTGGAGAATATCATAATTAATTTGTAACAGCCTA